AAGTATAATCAAAACCGTACTTTATTTATCTCTATTTTCCTTGGTGATGTTAAAAATAGTATTTGTCATTTGATGCTCATAAGATTTCATGAACTATATACATAAATACATAAAGAAACTATTTAAGTAAACTATTATAATGACTAAAATATATAATTCAAAAATGTGATTAGTTGTTTATAATAAATGTCTATAATGTTAATATTTTCGAGTTTTTTTTCTCGCCATCAATTTTATCATAATACAAAGTTTCATAAGAATCGACAAAAAATATTTCAAAAATTAATTACTAAGAAACAGCTTGGTCGATATTGAACTAATTAGCACGAACCAACTGATAACGGTTCATGATTTTTGTCGAAGACGTTGACAAAAATATTTGCACTGATTTGCACTTTTTCTTCAAGAAGTTAAAAATGATAATAAACAGAGTAAATAGAGTACCGGTTCAATCGAAGCTAATACAATATAGAATAATATAAGTTATGTTTTTAACATTTGTAAACTCATTTAAATAATTCTCATGACTTTCCCATAATATTGCAATTTCCAAAACCAGTTGTATTAAGATTAAATTGAAGAATTCATATGGAAATTATATATGTATATGCTTATGCGCACTTTTACGAAAATTTCAATATCGTGTTAGGAGATCGAGCGCACATGAAAGTTGCAATGAAATCAGAAATAAATATATAATGCAGCAGAAACTGGTCTCAGAGCGAACTTAAAGCGAAACGCGATCTGTCTTCCGGGTAATTAGGTTTTGTTCCATCAGAAAGTTGTAGAAGAAACATACTTTTACGACAGTAAAATTGATGGCAAATAATGTATGCACATCAATTCAATTTTGAATCGGTTTTAAATTGCAATCTCACACATTACCGAAGTGACAGTTTGAGTATAGTCGTAAATCAAATCTTGCTTTTATCGTTGCAAGTAGGAAATCTGTATGTAACTAAAATAAAAAGTTGAAGGCAGCATCTGCTTGTTACATGCCAATATTTTTTCCATATCAATTATTATAACCTAATGTGGCCCCACCAAAATTATTGGCAGAGCAGGCTGTATGTGCGTATTAAGCCTCTCCTTCGATTAACTCAGGTTGTTAGGTTATAATTTAACCTTTGTAGCTGTGGACTGTATGAAACACCCATTTGGTGGTATAATGTATGCATTTGTTGCAAGTTCTTATAACACACTAATGATTTGTCACTAAAATAAGTCCGATCCAAATTTGCTACCCCCTCTACAAGGTAGCAACCACCCGGTGTAAAAGCTCAATTCCATGAAGGTTGCCGGCTTCATGATGAAAATAATGAAATTCAAATAAAAATACGTCCGAACAAAGGCTGTGTTAAAATCTGGAAAATATTTTTTTATATTTTCTCTATGTTAAATACAAGATAATAGATATTTCATAATGAGTCTCAGATAGATTTTTGCTTTACCAGCAAATTTTTAACATAACTACTCATTTTAAATTGTTAACAAAATCATCTTCAAAAACGACTCACTAAAGATAATGATTCTTCTGCGCTCAATTTAATTCGTTAACCGAATTTAATATAATAATTTTCCATTATATGATAGAAAGTTAAAATTTTGATACATCATATTTCCGTTGATTACATATTACACACTATAATTACACAAAATTTCGTTCGGTTCGTGACGGATAGAAATCTTCTCATTAAAAATTGGGAACCTATTGCCAAAATTTTTACTGTTATCAAAATTAACAACTAAATCACGTACTTCTGATGATAGTAATAATAATAATCGCATAGAAATCAGAACGTGGTCTACATATCTCGCCCGGTTCGCCATTCATGTATCCAGTAATAATAAATGTACAACTTTCTGTTTCATAATTACTAATATCATAATTAAGTTGTCAGAAGAGTTGACTTGTTCGAAAATAAACGAAGAAGCAGCTAATTTGTGCAACAGAGAAATTATGTGCAGATAATTTTATATAGTGTTAAATCCGCAATGAAAGCACTAATGCATTTTTCAAATCGCTAAAGGAAAAGTTTATGCTTTTGCCAGAAAGTCAGATTTTCTAATTTTATGTTATGTATTAGTTAGGCAGATAAGTGCAAAAATTTTTGCTCTTGAATACTGAACTGATTTTGCAAATTCAAAAAGTGTTCAGTTAAAAATGTGCTTATTAGTTTTTGTTAACAATCGGTCGGATAGTTTCTTCAAAATTAATTGATTTGAAGTTGATTTTTTTGAAGATTTTAATGAAACTTTGCACACAAACATAATCTATGGTCTGAACTAACTCTGAACAAAATATTATAAATGCTTTGATTATAATAGTTCACTAATGAGCCCTTTTCATATTTATTTACACATATGGAGTAAACATCAATTGCGCCTTTAGCCAATAAGATAAAAGATTAGATAAGATTTAATTAAAACTAAACTCTAGAGATCTGTGCAAAATACAATAAAACCATCATCTACTGAAATTTGCTAAATGATTAAAATTTTGACATTTGATTCTTTCTTTCTTGTTAAAAAATTCGAAGATCCTTGGTTTGATTTTATTAGATTTTTTATTATTTGCTTTTTATATTTTATAATAAATTCAGGATTTGTTTATTATCATTATTAGAAAGTATTACTTTTAGTTAATAATTTAACATTAAAATAATCATATCGATATTCAATATTCAATTGAAGATATTGGAAACAAATATTGGTTTTCTATACCTTGCATAAGCGTAATTATAATTTATAGTTTTTTGCAATTAAACATATTTTTTAGAACATTTATTTTTCACTTCGTGCAACATTGAATAATGTTAAGGACATAGTATTTAGCTTACATGTTAATTGTTAACGACAAGTATTTACAATAATTGATTTAACAAATTAAAGGTCTTATATGTTAATAATTTTATGAAAGAAAAGGGTACCGGAAAATATTACACATAGGTCTTTTTTATGTTTTCGTGTATGTATATATCTCCTCGATGTTAATATCAGGAGTAAATAATTAATAAGGCAACCTATGTCCTTGCCCTTGAATAAAACTAACCTTCATGTTTATAAAATATTTACATATACAGTTATTTCGAAGGCACGCGCTTTTTGATAAAAGTAAATATTACTTGAAACAATTAACACTATCTGCAACAATAGGAATGTCAAGTGCAGAATATTAGTTGAAATGATAATATTCTAACAATAATTATAATTTTCATAATTTTTTTTGAGTCTGATAATGGTAGTTTGGTGACATATTTATGGGCAGGAAAAAGAATTATATGACATTGTAATTGAACAGTATAGATATTACAAATTTACATATTTTAGTAGTATTCTATGAGTAATATCGCACTTTAAAATATTCAGCCGTAAAATATCATAATAAATTGAAATGTTATATTACATTCTATTATTATTACTCTTGAAAATGACTGTCATATTATTTTTTTCATTATTGTTAATTTTATAACATAATTCAGGTTATAGTAGGTCGATTAAAAATCAATAATCAATGACTGTTAAATTTTGCCAAATTTTAAATGCGCATTCTGTGCAAGTAAAATTGGAAATGCAAATACAAATTTGTCCTTGGGATCACACTACGTCTTGGATTCATTCCAGAACTAGATCATAGATCTTCAAATCTATTTAGTTTGTTCATACAATAACAAAGAGTCAAGGACGATTTATTTGATTCGTAATAGAAACAGGTGACACTTATTCAGATAGGTGAATAGAACAATATGATATACCATAAACATAGCTAAAAACTTTTTACATTCTGCTATATAATAAAGCAATTGAAATTTCAATTCTATCAAATATTATTCTTGCAAATAAATCCATGAACTCTAGTACGAATTTCTGAAAATTCTGTATTACAAAATATGAAACAATACAAATACACAATGTACGTATCATTTCACCTTCTCATCACAATTGTCAAGGTAATTTTTAATCGATAATGTCACGGTACTTTCTGATATCTGACAATAAATGCTTGGATTATACTTTATTAAAAAACATATGAAGCCATTATACTAAAATTAATTAATACTTGTTGAATTAATCTTGGAAAAACCTTTAATATTAGCGATAATATAAATCAGATAAGCATTTTTCATATATGATTAATTACTATTTTAGAATTATTGAAAATTATTCACACGTTTTCACGTTTTGAAGGTTTCTGAACATTTTGGCATATCTTAGAAAAAATTGACGTGTGTGTGTATGTGTGTATGGATACAACTTTCCGTCCACGTTTTCGGGCGCACGGATCAACCGATTTGAATGGTTCAAAAAACATTCGATTCCTATTCATAAGGAGATGTGCTGATATGATTTTGGCAAAGGCAGGTCCAGTAATTTCGGATTTTGTAGCAAAGAGTGCAGAAAATGGAAATCGAGCTTTTGAGAAAACGCAGCATCCGGTTCTAATAATCTAAAAAACATTCAATTCGTAATGATGGGGAGAAGTAGTAATTAGTTTTTGGCAAAGACAGGTCCATCCGTTTCGGATATACGGACAGAATATGCAAAAATGACAGTTTTTGAGAGAACTAAGCATACGATTTGAAGGATTGAGAAAAGTGTTGATGAAATAATTGTTTTTGGCAAAATTAAAAAAAATATTTCAAATTTTTCATTTTCGAAAAAAAATTTTTTTTCAATATCGAAAATAATTCAAATTTTCAAAATTTTAATTCAGCCATTTGCCTCAAGACACGATGCCATAAATCACAAGTTATTAAATGGTATTAATAAGTAATGTATATAATTTATTGATATGTAGCTTTGTAGGATAGTACCTGAATACGTAATTTTATATGTAGAGTACATATTTAATTTTTTTAGTATTATATACTGTTTTGTTAGTATAATTGTAGTAAATCAATACGTAGGACGAATAGATAGAGGAAATTTTAGTCTAGAGTAGATAAAGGTAGTTTTAGTCTAGAATAGGTATATTAAATATTTCACTCAGAATAACTTACAGTTTATCCATCGTGCCATCTTTTGTTGTTGTTAGTTCCGGTAAAGATGTTTTTGGCGGAAACCGCATTGCAGTTCAAAATTTCCTTCCGCAATAACTTCCATCAGTGCCAAGTTACATGAGAAACGGCAACTTCTTCTCTGTAATTAAAGAAATCATAGTTATTTTCTGAAAAACGAACACTTTTTATTTCCACCGCAATGGAAGAATTATTTTATAAAATAGCGTATAAAATATTCCATCAAGTACAATTTTTATAAAAGTTATTATTGTGTAAATAGTGTAACAGCATTTTCATATAGAATAAATTATTTTTTATTCAGAATAATTATTTTTTATTCACGATAATCATCAGCACAGCCATTCATTTTTCTGTTCGTTGTGTACAAAAGATTTTACAATAACATGAGCAATTCTTTGTGAAGCAATGTATGTCACAGATAAAACAGTTTTTATATGATTCGTTTTTGCATTTGCTGCCTTTTATGTAGGAAGTAGAAAATAGCAATAAAAATGTGTAATTGAAAAACAATTGCAATTTTATTGTAAAGAAATATATAAAATTTTATTATTTAGTATATTTATATAAATATAACATAATAAAATTCATAAAAAGAATTCATTCATTCAAAAATGTACCATTTTCTATCGAATCATGAATTATGCAAATCTCTATCTTAATTACATCGCGAACAAATAATTTATCTATTCAAATATATATCAAGTTTTATTTGTAACGGAAACAGAATATTCACAAAGGCCATATAAACTTAAGGACTACAATATTTGTTGCTCAATATTCTACATAATACATATTTTAGTACAGAATGTTTCAAGGACCTGTTACTGCATAAAATTATATGGACTTGAGAGATTTCTATTGCAATATGTATTTAGCAATACGAGAAATTGTTTATTATTTTAGATATTCAGAAACTTAAGTAGTACCTAATGAATTTGAGAATATTATGTCTTGATGAGTTAAACCAGAATATTAATATATAGTAAAATTCTAACAAGAGTATTCAAACAATTGACTGTTTCCATTGGAGATTCTTGTTTTATTTACCAGTTCAGGTATTTTATACCCAAGATACGTTTATAGAAAGGAAACATTTCAATGGAATTCCAGGTGAAATATGCAGGATGCAAAGTATGCTTCAGAATGCAGTAGTATGCACCTTACATAATACTCTTCGCTCCATGAATTCAAAGATTTGTACATTTATATTGCAATCACGTTTTGTGCATCCTCTATCAGAGGAGATAGTGCAAATCATTGCAACTAAATTTTATTTTTTAGTTATTTGGTTGACTATTTATGTTTTTACATAAGGTTTCAAACCAATAAAGTAAAGTAAAAACAAATTTAATCATAAGAACTACGCCCACTGATGCATTTCTTTATAGAGATGATAATAAAATCGTGTTTCAGACATTCCCGATCTTTATATTAGTTGGTTTATATTATTTTAGTTGGTTAATTACATATTAATTAACTGCAAGCTCTCAGAATGTAACATACTTAGCATGTTTCTATGTACAAAACATTCTTTATCTTAAAAGTACTATTTCTAGACTTATAAGAAATAACCATCATAAATCACTCCCACCTGAGATTATCAATATGTAATTAAACTTAAGGCAAATTGCTGGAACTTCCCGTACCGTCCCGAAATGTTCGATAAATATTAAAAGCTTTCAAATAGAATATTATAAATATTGTAACATTGTCTAATATTTATACGAATTATATAAACTGAATTGCAAAGATAGAATTATTTGTTTAAGGTATATTAGAACTTTAGTTAGAATTAAAAATAAAATCTGATTTATTTTCGATATACAATAAATTTTAAATTTGAAACAAAAATTTTTTACAAAATCAATTATTATGTTAAAACAAGCAGAAAGTTCTTTGAATCATTTAAATTTGACGCTTAGTTCTTTCAAAAACTGCCATTTTTTAACATTTAGCTCTGTATCTTCGAAATGGCTGGGCCTACCTTTGCCAAAAACTAATAACCACTTCTCCCAATCATTAGTAATTGAATGTTTTTTAGATCATTCAAATCGGATACTCCGTTCTCTCAAAAACTCGATTTCTATTTTCTGCACTCTTTGCTCTTTATCTCCGAAATTCCAGGACCTGCCTTTGCCAAAATCTAAGCACATCTCCTTTTCAATAGAAATCGAATGTTTTTTGAACCATTCAAATCGGTTGATCCGTGCGCCCGACCGAAAAATTGTATCCATACATACATACATACATACATACACACACACACGCATCCATTTTTTCTGAGGTATGCCAAAATGTTCAGAAACCTTCAAAACGTCGAGAAATGTAAAAATTTTCAATTTCGATTTTTGGACGATTACAATAACTTACACTACGAGAAGTTAATAAATATTATATACGCATAGGCAGTATGTGAAGTAATAGCATTACCATCTCTCACACATAAATGAATGAAATTAAGTTATTATATGATATTTTATACAATTTGAAGCCTTGTTTTGGACTCATCAAAAACGAACTCAATTTATTAATTTTCTGCTGTAGTTCCTACAATTGTTTAGTGATTAACAAAATTATAGGAGGGTTGGCAGAAAAATAGTAGGATCTGACAGCACTAGACCAGAAAGGTTAGTTAGTAGGATCTAATAGCACTAGACCATTTTATTGTAAGATATAAATTGTATAAAATACATATACTACTACTTTATACTATCAAAATATTCTCTATCTTCTGACGGAATGCGTTGGAATATCCATGATATTTCTCATCTGCATTTATCAATTTCATTGTTAAATCGTGACTGTCGTTTGGAGCAAGCAAAAGTACGTGCTCGGAATTTATAGAGACATACAATACACAATAGCTTAACTTGATAAGTACGATATTTATATAATAATCTAATGTAGGTAATCTATTTTTGGATTCAAGGCAATATATGCCATTTTTTGTTTGACACTATTGAATAATGCATATTTGAATAAACGACTGTAGCACATGATATGATTTAAGATGATGTAGCATTTTCAAATAGTCAATACTGCAACGCTATTTTATTTATTTAAGCTCTCAAAGATACACAAAGTAAGCGATAATTTGTAATTAACAGTAATGGTTATCAAATTTGGTTCAAATTTATGGTTTATTATTTCACAAATTTGCAATATATTATGTACAGAATTTCAAAATTGGTAAATATCTATCAATCTCAACGTTCAAACGGTTTCAAACGGAATCAAACCCGTTATTAATTATAATTAATTGTTGAAGAGTAATAAATTCTAAAAAAAAATATTGATCATAATGAATCTTTTCTTCAACAAGTCAAAATACTCATAATGCTGAACTTGTGTACTACTACATTAATATAATGGTTTATGTTGCTAAATTGTCGTGTAGTTAGCCTCATATAGCCAATTGAACTATATTCAACCATTGTATACAAATTTTGAACTAATATCCTTAAGTATATATGCTTAAGCACCTTGTTGTCATGATGTGAATATGTCCAGATCATAAACAAAGTCTTAAAATACAATGTGAAGGATTGGAAATCTTCTTGTAATAATTTATCAAACTAAAAAAAAAGAAAACATCTAAAAATGCAAATAGAAATTGAAAAAATGTTCTCAAAAATCAATATTGTAAAATATTAAAGATTATTTAATAAGTTCATCATTTTGAGTGTCAATAATTGAGATCAATTTTATTAGATCTTAATGAACTTGAATTAACTGTAAAATCTCTATGGGAAAGTAAAAAAGAACACCATGTTTATTTAATAATAATTATCAAAATTTAGCTAGACATCTCTCCTTTACATTTGTAGTTCGTTTTTCAAACTTTTATTTTCTAAGTAGTTTTCAACGTTCTCAGACAAGTGAAAAGATTATGCATTAGAATAATCAAGAAATCACATTGTTTAACATGAAGTCATGTGTAATGTTATAGAAGAGAAACAATATAATGAAATTGAAAATTGTAATACAGGCGCATTGTTATGTTAATTGAAGTAGGTCAAGAAAATAGAACCAGCTGAGCTTCTTAGATCATATAAAAGATTCTGTAGATAAGTTTATCGGTTATTACGCCTGGTGACGAAATTTGAATAATGCTCTACATTATATATCTTAAGTAAATAATAGAAATTAGGTAGAGAAGTTAGGTAGTGTCTATTGACACTAAAAAATATGATTGTTTTGCATATGTTGGAACAATAAATCAAAATATTGAACAAATGAACGGGAAAATATTGAAACGATACTTTTACAATTTATTACCCTTTCCTTCCATGATATCCCTCCATGGCAAAATGTATAAAGTTATGTCAAAAATACCAGGCTGAAATCTTGCAATCCACTTGCAAAGACACACTATCAACATGCTTCTCTCTGGAAATTGATTAATATGTTTAAGCTTTGAATATTACAGTTTTATTCTTTTATTCCCACAAGGTAATAAACACTGAATTTTTTCTCACACAAGTGGCATTAAATCAAATTTAATTAACTACCCTGGCGGTAATACAAAATTATTTCTCCAACTGTGAGATCTGTATCGTGATCTGTTCAACTCCGTAACAAAAACACTCAAGTATAAATAATAAATTATTATAATTTTCTTATTTCTATTTATGAAAAGAAAAGTGCAATCACAGATGGAATGACATCTAATTAAACACTCTATCTAAGTGACTTTAATTATTGTATTATTGTATTATTTTCATTGTCAAACAAAGTACTCGGTAAATGTTTTCTCATTCGCTTTCAAGACTCAGGTGATGTCACCTGTCTCAGGTTACGCTAATTGCACATGTATTAGCATCATGTAAAAACATAAACGTCTCAGGTTTAATTGATATCAGACAATGTGATAAAATTATCACAGCTGTTTTTAATCCGGATGTAATACTAGCTAATAGCGAGCTAATATTTATAATACCCATAAAAGAGTTTATCAGCACTTTCATAAAAATGAAACAATAAAAATATAAAATAGTTAGAAATAAATTAATAAGCTGATAGAACTAGTTTTGATGATGATGAGGTGATGATCTTCAACGGTGCTTTTTAGACAGCATATCTTTGCTATATACTTGGATTACATTTTTCACTTGGAAA